TGGTTCATATTAAATCAACTTACATGGCTTGCAGTCCTTATTATTTATCTGCAAACATCTGTTTATGCTGAATGGATGGCAGAAACATTATCCTCTTCACAAATGTATCTGCTGAAGATCGCTGGACTGCAAATGATAGTGATATTGGTCTTCAGCTCATTGTGGCAGTACCATGTCAAGTGCTGCTCTTGCCAAGATATGCAGGTTTTTGGCTCAGTTTTACTCAGGGCAATATTTTAGAAAGGGAATGTTTCTTCTCATATTTTTGTGCATACATACAGCTAATGTTCCTTGTACCATGAACAGAAGTTTTCATTGGGAAACTTCACAACGTGGGATTTGTTCTTGCCCTATATTTATACTGGCTTGTTGTAGTCCATGGCTAGCAGGGGAAGGGCAACTTTTTTTTGTCAATGAACCCAATATTCAGTTCAGCAATCAGCATTAATCACTACACCTCCAGAATTTTTCCAGGCACACAAGAGGATACTTATCAGTTTTTCCCGCAGCAGCATTTCTAATCAGAACAGGTAGTTGAAAGCTCACATCTATAATCCAGTGTATTCTTCCATTTGTTGATATGTTCTCTTGCTGCAGAATTCAAAAATCTTCTTTGTATTTATTAAAAGAACTCTTGCCCATCTTTCTTTCCATTCCCAATTGTCCCATATTTTTCATATACGTTGCAAATGAAATACACAGGTAACAATGCTTTCTGATTCAGCTACATGCCAAGGACACATCTCTGCTCTTAACAAAATATACATCCATTTATCGTACTTCTTTGTAACATTTTCAGCTTACACTTGTAGCTTCTGTGTCATCCATCTCAATAAGGTAGGAATATATGAAAACACTGGAAATTACAAAAATATAGAAAGCAAAAGAGAGGACTATCTTCCTATTTTCCACGTCTTCAACAAGGTTGTGGCTTCTCTCTTTTGCTTCTTTGGCAGGGACTTAATAATTAAAAGGCTAATCCTTCCTGGAAGGGTGAGTAAATGGAAATTCCAGCAGTGAGGGTAAAGAAATAAAACCACATTTGATATTGGTACAGACCATCAAGCAAAAAAACACACAGCAATCTTGTAGAGAGAGACAGAAGACTTCTGTTTCTGCTTCTGAAAAATGTAACAGGCATTGATTGACCCAGTGTCCTTTATTGTTTCTTGAAATTTGGACAGCCAGCTTGAGATAACCACAAACAAGAACCAAATTGTTCATTACAGCTTTGCATAAAAACTTACTTTATCTTTGCGTTACACACTATGGATACAAATAATGGAGCCAATGGAGCTGGCTTGGCCACGAAGAATTGCAATCCTATTGGCTTAATAAGAATGGTCTCTCTTTTATTAGAGGTAAATAGAAATAAATTAAAAACTGTAAGCAGATGTTAGCAACAAGTCAAGAAGTACAAATTAGATAAATCGTTATCTGAACTTCAAATGCTCTTTGCTGCAAGGTGCTGAACAACATTTAAACAACGACACACCAACTTTTTTATAATAATTGGTAATTGAGGCTGCTGAAGACCACAGCAACTGTATGATACTGGTTGTGACACTATTAGAAAAGCAGTAAAATGTCCAATTTTAAGACAACATGTAAAGTTCAGTGCATTTTTTACTATCATTTTCCAAATTTATTCAATAATGATTTTAGTTCATAAAATAGTTCCACAGTGTCTGTAATGAGGTTCTTAGAAATTAATCTGAAACACAACAAAAGCCTCCCTAGTCTTTAGATATGCAAACTGTCTTCAAATTATGTATGGAGTTGCAGATGATTGCATCTGGAAACACAGAGGGTCTCAGAAAGAAAGTGGCAATGGGGACTCAGGAACAGTGAATTCCCTTTTCAGCCCAGCTATGGCACTGCTTTTGCATATGTACACAAATTACTAGCATTTCTGACCTAAACTCTCCATGTAATATCTAACTCACACTGATATTGTGACTGTCTGGAGACTCAGCCTGAGCTAATCAAATGCCAAGCATTCATATTGTCTTAAATATATTAAATATTTTACAGACAATACATGTGTTTTACTTTTTTCCTTGGGGCTTCAAAGTGGTTCAGTGGAAGTAGATGTCTGGGCCTGAAATGTCAAAATGTACCTCCTAGTGTCCATAATTTCTTTAATTAAGAAAGCTGATCCTAAGTACCTTAAGTGCCAATAATTCTCTATGGGCTTATAAATGTACTGGGGTTAAACAGAGAGATGTGTTAGTTATGATTTCAGATATGTCTGTGCTGATTGTGTTGGACTGCCACAGAGGAGAAATGGGACTGGATTGCTAATGAGATAGATAAGTCCTTGGCAATTACAACAATACTCTTCTACATCTCTGAATCAATCATCAGTGGTAGCAGAAGTAAGCAAACTGGTGCCTTGATGGTACAAAAGAACCCCTTACAGCTGTCAAAACCAAATCATTAATAACATAGGAATCAATTTCTGCTTCTCCTCTCTGCTCAATCAGCAACATTATAGCAGAGAAGAATTGGGAATGGGAGAAGCCAATAGCTGGAACTTAATTTCTGGAGATATGACTTAATGTTTTTTTCTCAAGTTGAAGTGAACAGTACTGAGGTCCAAATTGCTCCACAGGAGACGATATCGAACAAGAAGTAACAATAGATGGAGAATGAAAGTGATGGGGAATGTCAGGAAAAGAAAATCAATATATAAAAAATGACAACTTCTCAGCAGTAAAGACCCAAGTCTGATCTTCCTGATAACGTTCTCCTAATTCCTAGTTAAGTTTTCTAAGTTAAATTTTAGGAATAAACAATAGAATAGCATTCTATTTAAATAAAATTAAGGCCAATCTGTGAATGACAACTTTTACAAGAAGAAAACGCACAATCATGGAATCATAGAATGGCCTGGATTGAAAAGGACCTTCAAGATCACCTAGTTTCAAGCCCCCTGTTGTGGGCAGGGTTGCCAACTACTAGACCAGGCTGCCCAGAGCCACATCCAGTAATGTTAAAATGTTATGACTGACAAACAACAAACCAGACTCTAGAAGTCAATGTTCTGTGCGTGTGTGCATTCAATTGTTTGTAAATTACAAATGCTAAGGGCTAAATAAAGGCATGTTGTTGACAGGAGTGTTTGTCATCCCAGGGCTATTTATGAAATATATAATATTGAAGATTCATCAGGAGGCTTTTTTTCTAAACAGTATTTTTATTTTGTTATTCCCCTTGTGACATTTACATTTGGCTTAATTAAATCTCTGGTTTTCTAAGGTGTATTTCTACACTGCACTTTTATCTAAAGATGCAAATCTAGGTAAGTTAATATTTTATTTTGTAAGAAAGAAAACAATCTGGTAATGGTTAAACTTAATTTACAGGGGCTGTGCTCACAGCCTTAATTTCAGTTTAACATAAGTGTTTATCAGTCTTTTAACTGCACATTTGAGAACATGCAGTAGACACATGGAATGCTCCAATTCTCAGGTGCTGTTTATCCCAGAATCTTCTTCACCTGAGGAGTTGCCCCAAAATAGCAAGCAGTTCTCATGACTGCTTTGCAGCACTGTAAGAAATGAGTGGTTTGGAAAACAAGTGAAAAATCACATTCTGCATTTTCACTTTAAAATGTGTTAATTAGCACAAAGTCTTAACTTGCTTGTAATGGTTATGATATTTGAGACCCTATCAGCTGACTTCTTTTGCTCCTTCCCTGTCAACGTATTTCATTATGCATTCTCCTGGTGCCTTCCTGAGTCTGTTCCAATCAATCTTTAAGTTTAATCATCACAAGCCAGAAACTGATTGTGGCTGATCGTTCCAACAGCCTCCTTTCCCAAAGGATGTCTTTTTCTTTCTTTCTTTCTTTCTTTTTTTTTTTTTTAATTTTTTTCTTCCTGCTGAAGAGTAATTAAAAGCATCTGGGAATGATTAGAACCTTGAGCAGGTGGCTTGCATTTCTGGAATCTGTCACCAGGAGGGGGAACCTGTAGCACATCCCTGAGAGAAACCCCAGAGCTCAGACCAAGCCAGAAGGCAAAGGCTTCCATCTCAAGGTTTTTTGTCTTCTTTTGCTAGATAGTTGCTTGAGTGGAATTGTGCTCCATTCATGGAAACTCTAACCAAGAATAAAATCACGCGTGGCTCAGATCAATTAAAAAATCAATATTAAGACAAAGAACGTATCAATGAAAGGAGTATTAATCACTTCCGAGGCCTTTCAGATGGCACATGCTACACATTACAGAGTGAGCGGGAGAGTTGTGCCTTGTGTCGTCCAGCTCTGGCTTCACAACAGCCTTGCTGATGTGGTTCACGCAGCACCAGCTCTATGGGGAGCACGCAGAGCAAGCAGGGAAATGAGCACCAGGCCTGGAGGGAGCGGCAGAGCCGGAGGTGCCGTAAGAGAGGATGAATGCCCTCCGCCGTGCTGATGCGCCGCGTGCGGTGATGTCATTGCACAGGCGAAGCAGCTCAGGGCCGCAGGCGGGCACCGCGTCCCGCCCCGCCTCAGGGCACCCGTGGGGCGCAGGGCTCGGAACCCAACGCCGCCGCGGCTCCCGGCGAGGCCTTGTGACGTCACGAGCCGGGCAGCGTGACGTCAGCGAGCCTACATTGCCCGGCAGGCCGCACGGGGCGCTGGAAATGACATCAGGCCGCATCCGGGGCAGGGCCTAGCGGCGCGTGGGATCGGGGCCGGCGGCGCTCGCGGTGCGTCCCGCAGGGCCGGGAGCGGAAGGTGGGAAGCGGAGGCCGTCCCGATCCCAGACCCGGCTGAGGCGCTTCTCTCTCCGCAGGTGCGGCCATGGCGGACTCTACGCAGAACGGACCCGTGCAAGGCGGAGCCGGCGGCGGAGCCGTGGTGAGCAGCGCCGGGCCGGGCAGAGCAGGCCCGGCTGTGCGGGGAGGATGGGGGCACGGAGCGGGGCCGGCTGTCCTCGGTGACCCCGCGGCCCCGGTGCCGGGAGGGAGGTGCCGCTCGGCCGAGGTCGGGGAGGAGGAGTGCAAAGAACCTGGGAGAGCGGGAGGCGAGAGCGGGCAAAAAAATAAAAAAAAAAAAGAAAAGGAAAAAAAAAGGAGGTCCTGGCTGAAGTCAAACACAAAGTGAAGCACGCGAATGTGGGAGCAGGACGGATAACCCACGAGGAGTGCGGCTGGAAGGAGGGCAGCGTTCTGATGATGTGTGTAACTGAAAGCGTGCCGTGGTTTGTTACAGCCTTCCTGGTGCTGGGGCTGTGTAAACCAGGGAAGGGGACCGTGGTTAAGCAGTGTTGAAAAACAGGAGAAGTGCTGGAGTGTTGGGAATTCCATTTATTTGTTTGAATCCATGACCTTTTCCCTTGGAAGCAGTCATGTCAGCTTCAGTTTGCTACTTCTTTCTTCTCTTGCATAAGAAGTGTGGTGATCCTAGGCCGAGCTGCTTGCAGTTTCATTTAAAATGAGCCCTGGAGTGATAGATACCGCAGCCAGTTTGGTCTGAAGAGGTTGTGTGAGAAGTTCTTGAAGGTGGCTACCCAATGAGATTGGTCTGTGTAGAGACACTCACTGCCTCTACAGAGGATCTCGGTGCTGTGTTTCCTTGTAGGATACAGAAGGCTGCCTCAGAGTGAAAAGGCTCCATTTGCAATCTGGTTAGTACGTTGAAACATCGTATGTATCTAGTATCATGCACGATGAAAATACTCCCTTTTCTTCAGGCAATAGTTTGATCCTAGTCAAGGCTGCCATTTAATACTGAAGGAAGAATGTTCCTTGTATGCAAATATTAAGATACCAACTTATTTGGGGTTGTGTTTTTGTTATTGTTATCTTTTAATGTAGCAATTTCTGATGGCTAACAAGTTGGATACAGCAATGTGGATTTCCCGCTTGTTCACAGTTTACTGCTCTGCTTTATTTGTCCTGCCTCTTCTAGGGTATGTATTTTAACATTGTGAAACAACATTAAAAATTTATAAGTGACTACATTCTGTTTTCATAGAGTAGTTTCCCAAGTAAGGGTAACTTTCTATTATTTAGTTTGTTGGGTTGGTTTGTGAGAAAAGATTTTACTAATTTACTTATTTAAGATTGGCTTTAAGCATTTGTTGGTGTGTTTAGAAAATGCTCAGCAATTGTCGAGTACTGGCAAATACTCATATTTTGATGTAGTTATGGAATAAATAATATATTGAGTTATTTTTACCTTCAACATCTGCATTAAGTCACTGTTACCAGTTTCTAAGTGTATTTTGGTAACAGTGCTTATGTATGATAACAGAAATATGGAAAGTACTGCACAATTGTGATGCAATTCTCAGGGGTGAAAGGCTTCTGAACAGGGGCTTGGTTCATATGGTAACGTCTCCTCTGATGATTTGCAGGTTACATGAAGCAGCAAGCTTCTATCAGCGCGCCTTGCTGGCAAATGCTCTCACTAGTGCTCTCCGACTACACCAAAGGCTACCACACTTCCAGCTTAGCAGGGCCTTTCTGGCCCAGGCTTTGCTGGAGGACAGCTGCCACTACCTGCTGTACTCTCTTATCTTTGTGAACTCCTACCCTGTCACAAGTATCCTTTGCTTGGGTTGTCTTGGTAACATTTTTAAATATCTTAAAAACTTGATTCTTTTCATCACCCATGCCACATCCCTGGCAGGACAAGGGGAAGTGCTTTTAAGCTGAAGGAGGAAGATTTAGGTTGGCTGTCAGGGGGAAGTTCTTTACTATGAGAGTAGCAGGGTGCTGGAACAGGTTGCCCACAGAGGTTGTGGATGCCCTGTCCCTGGAGGTGTTCAAGTCCAGATTGGCCCTGGACAGCCTGGTCAAGTATTAAATGGGGAGGTTGGTGGCCTTGCCCGTGGTAGGGGAGTTAGAGATCCATGATCCATGAGGTCCCTTCCAACCCAGACCATTCTGTGATTCTGTGACTTAAAAAAAAAATAAAGTATGTTTACTATTCACAAAACATACTCTATGTAAAGTAGAATTGATCCATGTTCAGGTTAATCACCTCTGTACATAATGCACTGCAGTCTCTGATCCTTATCTTATTTTCTCTTCCTGAAACTTAAATTCGGAGAATTCTATAACCAATCTTAAATGATCCTTTAAGAAAAACTGATAACTTTCATTTATGACATTTATGACTGGAGCAAGTTTATATATAACTTCTCTAGAAGTAAAACATATGTCGAGATGCAATTATTCTGTAATAGCTGTTCTGGATAAGTAACTAAACATTCTGCAAAAAGGGCTTATTCCTGTGGCTCGTCAAAGCTGATATTGAAGTAGCTCTTCTTCATGCTGTGTTGTGTGTATGCTTGATGTCCTACTCTTAGAATGCCCCTGGCAGAGGAATGTCTATGTCCTTGCTCTCTGAACTGCTGGAAATTGCATGTTCTTTGGTGATAAAATGCATTTTGTAGCATCTGTTTATAAAACTGTGCTATGTGTACATGGTGGATTTTAAGTAGTAACCTTACATGTCTTTCATGTAGAAAGAATGCATTTCATTAGAAGCAGGCAGGTGTGTAATCATGGTGTATGTTCTACTTCTGCATACATATGTATACACTGATTTTAAATAAGAAAAATGCATAGCAAAGAAAGATGTAAGGAGAAAATGGAACAGCTATAAATGTGTCTTACTCGAGTATTGCTCATTCCAGCTGACCTCTTGCATAATATCGTGAGGAAATGATACACTTCTTCAGTCTTTTATTTTCCTTATTCTTGCTTCAGTGAGCATTTTCCCAGTTCTGCTGTTCTCTTTGCTTCATGCTGCTACATACACAAAGAAAGTTCTTGATGTAAGTATGGCATAGTATACAACGTGATTAATACCCTTGGTGCACGTGGGATTTATAAGCAAGTTTGGGAGTTGCAGCTGTGGTTTCCTTCAGCTACGTTAGAGGAGTTAGAGTGAAACTGTAGTATGGAATCTTGGCACAGAATCTGAGAGGTCTTCTAGTTTGTTTTTCTTATTCTGTTATAACTCAGTAATATGCTGAAGCTGACACCAATTATTTCTCTTGAAACGGTTCTCTTTGAAGGAGGCCACTAGTGTGTAACAGTGGGGTTCAAACTTCTGACCTGTCTTTTCAGGCTAAACCATATGCTATGAAGTCAAATGTTCCATTTCAGTGGTGGAATAACAAACCTCAGGGTGAAGCTAAGAAGCAAAAAATAAAATAAAATAAAATAAAATAAAATTGTCAAGTGAACCATCTGCTCAATATACAGTTTTCTACAGCTTAATGCATCTCCAACATCCAGTACATCCTGCCCAGGCCGTCTTGCTGCTGTAGGCACTTCATCCTAGTGGACAGAATAAGGCTTCTGGCCAGCCCTGTGCACTTAAACATAGAATGTGTGCATGGGGAATTTACAGCACGCTTTATTTTTAATTAAGCTTTATGTGCCTATGGTTCCTGAGATTATTAATGGTTATTCTGGTGGGGGCTCCACACTTCTTGAAAGTATTCTTTGCAGTATTAATTTCAATCACTTGCTGAAATGACTCATAAATGGTAGATGTTAATACTACTTTATGCTGAAGAAATGATATGGTGGTTTTTTTCTTTTCTTTAAGGCACGAGGCTCAAATAGCCTGCCCTTTCTGAGAAATCTTCTAGAGAAACTGAATGCTAATCAACAGAATATTCTAAAATTCATTGCTTGCAATGAAATTTTTCTGATGCCAGCCACAGTTTTTATGCTCTTCAGGTAAGAATTATCATTAATATTTTCAGAATTAGGAATTTTGTGCATGAGATTATTTTTTGTAGTTAATTCTGTGGGTTACAGGGATCTCTGTGTATAGTTGTCTGTGCATCATGAAATCAAACAGCATTCATTCTGGTATAGTTGGGCACGGAAGAAAAAACAAAACAAAACAGCTCTCCCTTTCATAGCATTCAGTATGTTAAATTTTGGACAGTGTAACAGAATATTGATCTTTAGCCCTACTGAAAAGCATCTGTTTACTCTTGCTTCTAGTTTTAGATCCCAAAAGTTTAAGTGGCATGGAATTGCATGGTGCTTGAAAAGTGCAAGGAGGAGCAGGTTATGTCCTCTCCCATGTTACTTCTGACCACAAACCCGTATTTATTCCATCTGGGTTTGCCTGCTTTGTTCATGTGCAGCCTGTTTTCATTTTGGGGATCTTAAGAATGTACATGTTGGAATCCTACTGAAGTCACATAGACATAACAGTCTGCCAATGACTGAAGTTTGAGTTGCTTCCTTTCAATACTTGAAGATGGAATATTTGCATTATGCATGTCATAGCGCAGTGAGAGCATTTGTCTTGAGTGGTCTCAAAGGCAGTAGAAGAGAAGCTTTATTTTCTTACAAGATGATAGAATGCATCATTTGTCTCTATCTTACAGTAGGGCAGCTGAACACTTAAATGCGTAAGCCCCGATGGATTGTATTTCCTTCAAAGGCCACTTAGCAACTGATGGATACTATTTGTATCCAGCATCTGAAACATTTGATTGCTCTAAAACTTTGGGGCGAAGATCTTTGTGTTTTTCCTCTCTATGCAGAATTCAGTGTGTGGAATGGAGCTAGTTGATAAGTCATCTAGCAGAAACTTGTAACAGATGATATACCAAGTGTAAAAACAGTATAGAGGTTAAATGAAACTGTGGTGGAAGTTTAGAGAACAAACTGTTGAAGCCTGTTAAATTGCTTGTAAATACCATACAGATGCAAGACTTTGCTTTTTCCACTCTGGAACTATGCTATGGTGACACAGATTTTTAATATTACATTATATAAAGAAGCTTCAGTCAAATAAGCTCAAGATGTTTCTGTGCTTTGCTGTGTCTTGGTTTGCAGCTCTGTCACATAGAACAGCAGCTTTGAGAAGTACAAAAATCTCATTTCAGAGTAACTGAAACAGTTTAATTAGTGTTAATATATGAATACATAAATAATAGTCTCCGTTATGTTCTAAGATTTTTTTCAAAAGGTACTGTAAGTATAGTGCTTCTATAACATGAACCATGCTGTGAGCTGAAAAAGCTCAGTGTAACTGGACTACTCAGATCAGTCAGTTTTCATGCTTGTCCAGCAAGCTTTTCCTTAATACCAAACTACTCTGTGCTGTCACTTCTGTGATTCTTTACCCATCATCAGATGCAGTTATACTACATTTCTTAAAGTTTCTGCCTTTGTAAAGGCATGGTTATGTATGTTTTATGCTGTCAGATCTGGATTGTCTGAACAAATACCACCCCAGTCTGGCTTTTTTGAGCTGGGATAGTTTCCTAGGTTTTCTTAGGGAAAGTCCTGACTCTCTTTTATTTATGTAAATCAGCATTAACCTCTGCTTCTCTGTTCTCTTTCAGTGGTCAAGGGAGTCTGCTCCAGCCATTCATTTACTATAGGTTTCTAACATTACGCTACTCTTCTCGGCGAAACCCGTACTGCAGGTAATAACCACATTGATTTTGGAAGTTAGTGTTTAACAGTGTAGTGTTTAAATACAGACATTTTTCATTCTGTAATGGATACATAACACATAATACCAAATCACAGAATCACGGAATTGTAGGGGTTGGAAGGGACCCCCAGACATGGTTGAGTCCAACCCCCCTGCAAAGCAGGCCCCCTACTGCAGGCTGCATAGGTAGGCATCCAGGTATGGGTCTTTATCTCCAGAGGAGGAGAATCCACAACCTGTGCGAGTGGTAATGATAGAATGTGAAATATATGTGGGTGTGTATGTATGTTTGTTTTAAATAAAAAAAACTTGCCACAGTCCTTTAAAGTAACGTTTATTTCATGTAACTGAAGTCAACTAAAGTGCTGTCCTTGAATGAGAGCTTTCAGAACATGTTTGCATAATTAAAAAGTATGCTTTAGGAGAAGAGTCTTTTAATTGTTCTGCAACCATTTATCATAAAGATATTTTTAGATTCTTGGTCTCTCTAAGGCTAAACACGTACATGAACAGATATGTGTGAACTTGTGTAATGTCAGCTGGAGAGAAAAAGTCCGTGTATGATCTCAAACATACTCATTACCTCCTTTAAATTTATAAGTAAGGTTTATTATAAGTGAAATAGAGCATTATTGATTTTGTTCTGCATTGACTTGAACAACTTTTAGTGCTTTAAACCTTGAAACTGTAAATATTTCTAGGATTTGCTCAGGAGAATGCTCTTTTGAGATTTCTCTCATGTCAAGCTTTTGTATAGTGTAAGATTTCACTTTCTTATCTGATCACTATCTAATTAGGAAAATGTTTGATAAAATACCAGAGCAGCAGCTTTGGCTGCCATGATATGCAAAGACTGGTTTTAGAATCACAAATTTTATTGCCTCAATTTTCCTCTTATTTTGTAAGAAATCGATCAATCCTATTACATGTATTAAAAGTGAAGATACTTTTTTATGTAAAAAAAAAAAAAAAAAAGTGCATGAAAACAAACTTCTAATAAGACCAGTTTCTTGTCTTTTTGTAATTTCAAGTCCTGCTAGTGTTTCAGGTTTTATTTCTTAAGTGTTTCTTTTTAAAAGCTGAATCTAGAATACAGGGTTGTTTGCATTCTAATGAGAAGCAACACAAGCACTCCACTTTTTCTTGCCTCCTGAATTCTTATGCTATTTATAAGAAATTATCACTCTTCTTTCCGGCCTACCTGCAGTGGGTGTTCTGATTTCTTTATGGTGTTTGGTTTTTGTTGGTTTTTTTCCTGCTTGAATGTGGAATTTTTCTGCTGTCTTTATGTCCTTCACTAAGTTAAAGGTGATTAAAAAATATTAACATTTAGAGAATAAGAATTCTGAAATTCTTGCAGGATGCTGCAACGCTGAGTTAATCTAAAGAACTTGCTAACTAGAATTAGTGTGTGTTGTTGTAGTAAATTTTTTTAAAATTATTTTATTTAGAAAATAAATGAATGAAAAGGGTGATTTAGATATTAGTTGCTTCTGGTGAATGCTATGTGATTTTTATTCTGTATTTAAATCTTTTTTTTTTTTCCCCCCAGGACTCTCTTCACTGAGTTGAGAATTGTTGTTGAACATTTAATAATGAAGCCCTCATGCCCTGTTTTTGTAAGAAGACTGTGTCTCAGCAGCATTTCCTTTATAAGCAGATTGGCACCAACTGCTGCATAGCCAAATTTCAGACACGCGTCTATTGTGAACATTGTGAGCAGCTGGCACTTCTGCTGATGATTAAATTTCTGGTTTTACACTGATCTCACTCCAGGCTGTATAAAAATGTGTCTTTGCTTTTCTTGGAGATAATATAAAATTTAGCATATCAAAAGCAAGTCATGGAAACTTCAAAATTACTGTGCTATATTGGTAATTGGTGGAAAAAAAGTAGCTGCATTCTATCCTAAACGTACCCAGTCCTGCAGAATTGTTTTTTAGAAATCATTAGTTGTTGGATGCTGATTAAAACTCTTTAAGAGCCTGTGCATAATAGGTTTATACTAGCTGGAACCATTGCTATGGTAGGGTGTCTCTAGCAGGTAGCATTGGTACATACACCTAGGCAGTACATGTTGGACAGTATTCTTCTGCTTACTAAATATATGTAGAATTATTGTCCAAATCACTATATTCAGTGAAAAACATTGCCCACCTTTAATTTAACAAAATTTAAAGGGTATCAAGCTGGTATAGGTAACACCTTTTCAGGAGAGCCTATTTCTGCTAATGTCATTTAAAGATAAGGTAAAAGCTCAGAAGAGTTATGATGAAGCCTTCTGTTTGGTTGCTGGGAGAAATCTCAAGGCTCTGACCATGGAGAATTCAGTTGTCTTGTCAAAACAGGATGTTTTACCAAGCCAAACTGCTGACCTGGAGGCTTTTCAGACAAAGATGCAATGCTTAAACTTTTAACCATCTCTTAAGTGAACTAATCAATGTAAATGTTGTAACTTTTGGAGAATCATTGCGGATATGTTCTTGTGTCTACACAAATGTGAGACTGCAGTAATTCAAGCATGTCTGCTTTTTAGAAGATTAATCTGTAGCTAGCTCTATATAAATTGTTATTCCAGTTTCTGAGACTCTCATTGTAATGGGAAATTTGCATAAAGGATTGCACCTGTTCAGGCAGCTATTGAAACAAATTGCTGTAGGATTTTTTGGCATAAATCCATCTTATGACTGATCTGAAGGCAGTATCATGACTACAGAAGTGAATATTAAATTGAGTGCTGATTATGTATTCACCCAGCAGCTGAAAGGTAGGTCATAGAAAAAGAGTGTTATCTGCCCGCATGTAATATCTTTCCATGAGTTCAAGGCAAAGTATTTGCCTTATCTTCTGTAGCTAATATTAATGTTCTAATTGCATAAAATTAAATGGGATAATTGGCCTTTTGTAAAAATCCTAAGGTACTGTGCTCTTCTTCCTTAGTCAGAGAAATGTGAAACACTTCTGAAAACAGTCTCAGAGCAAAGTATGTAACTACTGAGTTATCTTGTTTGCAATGCGGATGTTATTTGGCCTTTTCAGTTGTTTTAGCTTGCTATTTTAGAGCTGTGTATTTACACACTTAATTTTTTGCCCAACCTCTTGGTACTGATAAAGACCTGTTTTTGGTAATCAAATATGATACTCTTTGACTTTGCATCTTGCTTTCTGAACATGATTAGTTATTTATAGAACACTTGCATACTGCATAAGCAACTGCATGCAGTACTGCTCTACTGCTGCTAATACTTGCAACAAGATTCACTATGTGTATATCCTGTAACTTGAGGATTTTATAAAACCTAAAATTTCTACTACAATAAAATGAGTGTTAAATGTAATTTGCTAGGCTCTTCAAGCTTTCTTTTTAACGGAATGTGCTGATACTTGAACCTGGAAGTTGAGCAGAACGCAGTCTTGTGCTTATATGTGTGCACACTTGCCACTGCAGCTCTTGAAATGGGACAACTTAGTATCTTGTGCATCTCTAAGTCATATTACAGAAATTTTTGCCTTCTACAATGCAAAGATTTATTACTCTTTCCTTCAAAACTTAACCCAAGAGTAGGCACTACAGCAATGATCTCAGAGGAGAAATCTAGACCTACTTCTTACCATTGCAACTCTTCAGCACTGTTCTAGACCTTTTTGACTGTTTTTGACTGTTTTTGACTGGTGACATCAGGCTCTGTTCAGCTCTTCACTTTTGAATAGGTCATCTAAGTTCATCCCCCATCCCAGTAATGGAAAGCAAATAAATGCTTTGGTAGTTAGTGTAAGGATAATAACATGTTTCTTGTGAGCGAGTTCTTCTGGTCTAAGAAAACTGTTGTGAATGTGGTCTGCTGTTCTTTAACTATATGCTCTTATTAAATTTGAGTGAGTTGGAACTGATATATTGCAGCTGTAACTGAAGGATGCTGAATCTGAGATCCAGCTCAGTGAAAGGGGAAGGCTGGTTAAAAGGAATAAGTGAATGAGGTTACGGTACAAGTCTAAATGTGGATGTGAAACTTAAACATTTTTTCTGACGAGTAGTATTAAAAATGGGTTGTGGAGAAATATTTTGTCATAAAAGGAGCTTGATTTGGGTAGTGCTGTGCTCTTGGCTTTGTCAAGAGCTGTTTGACAAAACTGAGGCCTGGATTTTGTTGTGGCCTGTTAAAACTTAGAGGAGTGCCTCAAAAGTATGGTATAAAGGGATAAGCATAATTTCCAAGCAAAATAAATGAGGCAGCTTACGTGTACACTGTATCAACTTTGTTTTTATTTATTGTAGCCTTATGCTGCCTTCCTGGTAAAAGCAAGCTGTCTCAATGCTAACAAAAAACATTCTGCTCATGTGCCTACTTCCTTAATAACTGCTACTACTCATATTACTTCACTGTCAGCAGTTCGCTATAACAGAAGTCTGTGATAGCGGAGAGATGTTGAAACTGACTGTAAAAATGTGAACCCCAAATATGAAGCAGAATAGCTCTTGTCATGGAGAATGGTTACCTACTAGGTAGCGTTATTGTTTCCATTGGTATGAATCACACTGGTAATTGTTCTTATTGTCTAAACTTCCATAAGTTAAAGTGCTGTTGGATAAATTTTTGGGTAGATGCACCCCTTGCTGTGCACAAGTCTGCTATAGATGTGATATTCTAGGATAACCTGTTCTGTTCTCACCTGTAGAGGAATAAAACATCAGGACCAATTGGGTCTGTTGGGAGCAGCTATTGCCATTTGGGATTTCTTGCACACACAGTAATCCACTAATGTGCATCCATCTTTTCCTTTATTGTGTTTTAATTTTCGTCTTTTCATTATTAGTTTTGTGCTGTCAGTCTTATGTTTTCTTTGCTTCATAACTGAAATGCTAATTGTTCTATGATGGATGTTCAAAGGGAGCAATATTGGTCAATATATTGCAATATGTTAAGTTCCATGTTAGTGATTTTTTTTTTTAAATTATAATCATGAGCTGCTGTTTGTTCTGAAACCTTCTGAGCTGTTAATTTTGTGCTAGTAATGTCCAAACAAATAATTTAGTTGGTTGCTTTGCACAGTCCATGTTGGACCTTTTTATCACTAGGCTCCCATATTGCCATGTTTGCTGTGCAATCTCTAATTAAGCAAGTATAGTTCTTGTCCATTTTACAGATAAGAATTGAGGTGTGGGAGGAAAGGTTCATCTTCTGAGGTGATGTAAGAACTCTAGTGGAGGAAACAGTGGGAGGGAAAAACAAAAATTGGGCATTGGAGGCAATCATTCTGGTGATTTGTTGCTATGTTACGTATGATTTGGTCCTATTTCCAAAAAGTGCTGTATCTTGCAGTGCTCAGATTAAGGCTGGCAAAGACCATAGAGCTAGAAGAGCATGCTCTTTTAAAATGTTCTCAAAAACTGCTTCCTACCTGCAAGAGCTAGGTATGGCTCTGGTGTCTTTCTGTTGAGGGAAGAAATATGTGACAGTGGCATTTCCTGTGCAAGATTTTAATAGGCTGTGCTGATCTGTTGCAGTTGTCTATAATTGCTGCATATATTTGTGGTTAAAGTATACTGAAATTATTATCTCTGTAATAGAACTTTTAATGTGATGTAAGTTTCTTAAAAAATCCCAGGAAAGTCAAACTTACAGATTCTCAAGCTATCCTTTATTCCAAAGATACGTTCTCAGTATGGATCATCTAATTGAATTTAATCTTAAACGTGGATTCAGAAATATCTTTTTAATGAACTGCTAGCATTACTTATTAAACTTTTTGCAAAAGCCAGCTCTGTGATAATGGGAGATATTGCCCAAGTAAGGGAGTTTCATTGCTTAGCTGTGTGCCATCCAGATGGTACAAACTTCTCAAATGAATTGAGAAATTCATTTTTTACTTGCATTCAAGGACTGAGGCACAATATGCTAATGTAAGGCTCAGAAGGGAAATATAGTTCTCCTGCATATTTGAGAAAATGTGAAGCCCTTTCAAGAAAATCTAATAAACATAATAATCACAGGCTGCTGACACTAAGGAAAAAGCACCTCATTCGCTTGCTCTTTTATGCAGCAATTTACTGGTCCCTACTGATTTTCAAATTGGATCACTGCAGTAAATTATCCATGCCAGTACCTGTGAAGGAAAGCATTGGGATCCATATTTGTTTACTGCTGTGCTTAAATCAGCAAGAATGATAAATCTGATGGTATGAAATTGGAAATACCAAGGGCTTTTCTCAGTGAATGAGCAAGTAACTCCGTTAGTAATTTATTGTGACCCTTCTCACTGTATGTGCTTTGTATGTCAAATATTTATTTTGAAACAAATTAAATTGTTTTCTGTATTGATACAGCTATGGTTTTGTTGATGTTCTTGAAATCAAATTGTATATGTATTTTTTTCTGGATGTAAAATACTATCAATGTTACATTGCAAAACAGCGCTTGTGTAAGTTTAGGTTTCAGTTTGTGTTCCTGACCAAAATCTTTATAAGCTGAATGTCTTAAGTGTCTGTTGTTTTGGTTTTTATTGGTTTTGTTTAGAATAATGCAGGGAATGCTGAGCTACTGCTTCCTGTTTGCTTTTCTAGATAAAAAACATTAAGCTGCATATTAGAATGAAAAGCTGATCCCTGTTTTTTCAGTCATTGGAACCATTCTGCTTTATACCTAGTGTTTGTAATAACATCTTCTGTGAAAATGTAACCATGTGCTCAGTTTACTGTTGGATTTCCTTGCAGATCTTTAGTAGAGGGGGTTAACTGTATCTCTTTTGGCAGTAGTCCTGTCCTGTGAATCTTCGGATGGGTTACTTTGTGTGATGTAATCATAGTCACATAGCTACATAAGAGCAATTGCTGATCTGAAAAAATGGTCTTAGCTAGCACTTACTGCTTGGAATTTATATCTGTGTAATATTTTCTTTTGTAAGAAGTAAGCAAAATCACAAACCAGTATGGTTTAAAAAATGTGATCTTGTGTTATCCTCCTCTTATGGGCTTAGCTCGTTAGTGATGGCATATTTAAGTGCTTCTGTTCAACCCCAGCTCAAATCATACAGGCTTTGTTCTGTCACTGTTGACTGCTACCACAGAGTTGCAGGCCTACATTGCTTCTGGAGAAGCAATAGCATGAATTATGTTCTAAGGAGTCACAAAAGATATTACTCTTTAAAGAAAATGGTTAATAGGAGTTAATTTCCCTTTACCTGGAGTTCCACATGCTTGACTCGCATCTCGAGCAGCCCGGACTCCTGCCTAAGGAGGAGAAAGTAGTTTTCTTGAAAAGGGTCATTATATTTTAACTTGCAGTGTGTGCCCCTGTGAATGTTCACTTATGCACTTTGGTAGTGCCAAAAAATGAAGAGTATGTTGCGTGGAGATGATGCATCAGCTAGTCAACATTTTACAGGATAATGAAGCTGAAAAGCAGAGGTGAAGGTGCAGGGCTAGATTATTAGCAGGAGTTAATGTCAGCTGCAGTTTTCATGAAGGGAGAAACAGAAAAGACTGGGGAGAAAAAAGGAAAATGAGGAAGAATTCAGCTCTTAGGTATGGAAATTCTATGGTATACTATAAGCTTCCACAAACCCCAATTTACCGTCCATGATTTTGCGATATCGGTATCTTTTGGTCAGCATTTGAATTTTCTAGTTCTAAGTTATTGCTACTTTATTCTGTATGAAAATGAATTGGAATTTTTAGGTGCCACTATGCTGTACAAGAGCAGACAGGCTGGTCTCAATCTACCTGGAGGGAAAAATAAAGCTGTTGTGGGATTATGTGGTTTTGTCCATAATGTTTGAGACTCCTGTAGTGGAAAAGAAATAAAGCTTTACTACGGCCTGTACTGCTACTGGGTTTCATGGTATATTTGTTAAGCTTTTTTTTCCTTTTCATATTGTTTTGTTACCTTTTATGTTAGCAGTGTAGGAGAAGATACCATATGTGCACCTGCATGGGTTTTGTGAAATGACAGACTGAGAATTGTATTTTTGTTCTCTAGAAAATCTGACCGCTGTTTTGAAATAACACTTGCCTATTGCAATTCCTTTCCATGTGCTTTTTGTTATAGCAGCTTCAGTTAGGGTCTGACTAAAGCAGAACAAAACTATTGTGAAAATAGCAGAAAGTTTAAATCAAAGCCATTATTAACAATTTTTTAATATATGGAAATGGGAAGTTGACTTAAAACACATTTCTAAATTCTAGTGTGTTTATTGGTGCAGTACTGACAAGGGGGCATAATACAAAGGAATTTTGAGAAGTGAGTATAGTTAGAGCAGCACATATCAGTTTAGTATGCATTTCTTAATTACCCAGTGGTCCTATTCCCAACTCTAATTATTTCAGCTTTAACATTGCTTT